TGGAGGACATGGATCAAAACTGCGCGTTTCTCTGCATCCAGTGTTACCAGATGCCCACGACCCTCTCTACTGTCTCATTAGCACCAGGGTAGTCTTCATTAACCCTCTACTATTTTTCTAGAGACTTCCAAGGACAATGGTGAAGCCTTAATCTAGTTTCAGTTGCAGAGTTTAAGTGGGTGTATCTTGATGTTTTCCCTTCCGGGTATTTTCTCTTCTCTAAGTTCTACCTTAGAACCTTAAGAAGCATCCTAACTTTGTTCTGTAGATTGTAATCATGCTAAGTACATGTAATTTATTTTTAGGAACAAGCTTTATTTAGCTTTCTGTATATGTTTTCAAGGTTAAACCTACAGCAAGTAACTAAAAACAAAGTTTATTTAAAATTAAGAATACTTAATATAAAATTTGGCTATGGTACTGGCTGGTTTTGTGTCAACTTAACACAAGCTGGTGTCATCAGAGAGAAAGGAACCCCAGTTGAGGAAATGCCTCCCTGAGATCCAGCTGTATGGCATTTTCTCAATTAGTTATCAAAGGGGGAGGGCCTGCCCACTGAGGGTGGTGCCATCCCCGGGCTGGTGGTCCTGGGTTCTGTAAGAAAGCAGGCTGAGCAGCTAAGGGAAGCAAGCCAGTAAGCAGCACTCCTCCATGGCCTCTGCATCAGCTCCTGACTCCAGGATTCTACACCGTTTAAGCCTCTGTCCTGACTTCCTTCAGTGATGAACAGCAATGCTGAAGTGTAAGCCGAATAAACCCTTTTCTCCACAACTTGCAATAGAAACCATAACTGTGACAGCTCTCAAACTTCTCAGAGTTCTGCTGAATATGGCATTTAAGATGTTTAACTAAAAAAAAAAAAAAAATGTTTCCCATGACAGACAAAACTGCTAACTCACAGAGACAGCCCTTAGGCCTCCTCCAAAGAAGACAATAGGGCACAAACCTATAGTAACTCTAACCATTGGGCGAAAAACTGCCTCATGCCTTGCCTACTGCCAGGATCCTGTTCAAACTGTGAACAAAGTCTCTGGAGAATTGACTATCCCTTTTGACACTAAGGTAGGCCATTCTCAAGTTTTTTTGTGCACAAATAAGTCTCTTAAATCTGAGACAGGTAAGCTAAAGGATAAGCTACCCTCTATGGCAATGAAAGACTTAACGCTGTCCTGTGTGACTACCTATGAAAGACCAATGCCCTCTATCCTCAAGACCATCATGAAGGAGGTTAAGGCAACCAGCTAGGTAAGTCTCTGTCATTTTAATTGATAGAGGCCATTTGGATTATACGTCATGCTCAAATTTATCCTCAGATCTCTGATGATATTGATGTCTAACTGTAGCAATAATTGCTCCTCAGTGACCAACCACCTATGTCTCATGGTAAATAATTAGACAAAAAAAATGAAATTTATAGTTAGGCAGTGTTGGTGCACGCCTTTAATCCCAGCACTTGGGAGAGGGGAAGCAGGCAGATCTCTGTGAGGTTGAGGTTGAGGTTGAGGTTGAGACAGGGTTGCTCCTGTCTCAAAAGAGAGAGAGAAGAGAGAGGAGAGAGAGAGAGAGAGAGAGGAGGAAAAAGAAAGAAAGAGGAAAAAGAAATTTATAAAGAAATTTGGGGGTCTAGGAAAATGATTTAGGATGTAAGTTGTAAAGGTCTCAGGATATAAAAGCTTAAATAAGTTACAAGAATCTAAGAAAGTAATTGAAGGTCTATAAAGGTCTGAGGATATGAAAGCTTAAGTTGTGGGGATCTGAGAAGGTGATTTAAAGAATGTAAATGCAAGCCATAAGAGTCTAAGAGAATGATTCCAGATATATATATATATATATATATATATTAAAATGTATCAGATCTCTTTCTCTCCTTGTTATATTCTTTCCCTCTATTGTTATATTAAAATTCTAAAAGTTCAAGGTTTTGACATTCATGTAGTTAAGATTTACCCTCAAACTCCTGAACTTTGCCATTTGTCCCAGAAGATTTCCAGTCAACTAAAGGTTGAAAACTGCTCCAAACACACCAACCTCAAAACTCAAAAAGTGGGCCTTCAAAACTAGCTAATCCTGGACTCGCTGGAAGCTTCTTGGATCCCAGCTTTGGACCAGCATTACTGATGCCCCAAAGCTACCTGAACTTCACTAACCCCAGATGGTCTACAAAAACCTGGACAGCAAACCAGATGTACCCTGTCCCCTCCCGGCCTTTGTCTGGCATTCCAGCTTTCCTGTGCCCGACAGCAACGTCCTGCTTCAACTGAGAAGCAGTTACAGAAAAGACTACATCACCCCTGATCATTAACAAAAGGTGGATGGATCTCTGTGAGTTCAAGGCCAGCCTGGTCATCAGAGCAAGTTCAGGACAGCCAAGGCTGCACAGAGAAACCCTGTTCTTGAAAAACAAAACAAAACAAAACAACTCCCCCTGAATTCTTCCCTCAACCCCTTCTCAAGGCAATCTCAAATCTGGCTCAGAGACTGTCATCCTGCTAGCAGTAATCAATAAATCTTTTAATTATAATTGTTTGAGTCTGTGGTCTTTCCCAGGGGTCACAAACTCCATAAGTTTTTCAAGCCCACCCACGCCCTTCTGATGGGTTCCTTTGAAAGTTAGCTTCTTTTTTTTGAGTATCTAATTGATGCCAAAATGGCATCTGTTCTTAGAGTTCATAGTTCCTCTAAGGAGACAGACGTGGAAGAAATAACTATAATATGGTTAGGAATGCTACAACCCAGCGCAAACGTGGACCACACTGGTAGCAGAGAACTCCATTATCAGTATCTTGGGAGGTAATAGGAAAAGCAAGGAAAGGGATATTGGATGGAGCGAGCATGTATGAAATGCCTAGGCAGTACTTAAAAACAATGCAAATTTAGGAATCCACCCACAAGGAACTTGGCATGATGGATACATAAGACTCCAGGGGAACTGGCAAACAGAGAGCCTGTGGTTATTAGTGAGGTGTCAGTCATTTTGTGTCTGAAGAAGGAAGCTCTGGCAGGTATGTACATAATGCTTCAGAAAGGTTGCTCTGTTAGACGTGTGTAAGAGGAATGGTTAGGGAAAAGATCACAAGCTCACCCAGAGAGTGGGCTGTGGCCCAGCATGTGGCACATGCCTGTAATCTCAGAACCTGAGAGCCAGCAACAGTTTGAAGCCAGATCTGTCAAGTTTCAAGACAACCAGCATTACATAGAGACACCCTGTAAAAAACAAACATACATACAAATGCTGTAAGCTTTGGAATTAGACTGAGTTAAAATGATGGCTACGTACTCACACTCCCTGTGTGACCTCAAATAATCTCTCTGTGGGCTTCATCATTCACAAAATATGCGAAGGAGTATATCTGCCTCCTGGTGGGTTTGTGGTGTGACCCGAGTGAGCGATCTTTGGAAAACCATAGCAGAGTACTTGCATACAGTGATGTCATCTGTTAGTGTTATGGTGACAGTAGAGTTTGACCAATGGGATTACCACAACAGGTCAAGTGAGAACTGAAAGATGCATAAACCCAGTTAATAGACGTGGGGATGGAAGCTGGGTGTGGTCCAGGCGCATACTTGAAATCCTAGCATTTGGGAAGTGGAGGCAGGAGAATTGCTGTGAGCTCAAGCTACAGAGTGAGACTTTGTTTTAAAACATGGAGTGAAGATAGGCATTCCTGAAGTGTTTATAAGTGCAGGGTGCCATATGGTCTATCCCCACAGGATGACTTTGAGAGTTAAATATATGTTATATATTAACAATGATGCTAGAACAGGCATACATTGGGAAGTATGGTCACTCTCATTATTAGTCTCACATGGGCTCAGCTTCTAGATGTCCTTCTCCAGCCTGTTTGACAGCAAATATGTCTTCTTTAGCTTACTTTCTATTGCTGTGATAAATGCCATGACCAAAAGCAATTTGGGAAGAACACTGTTCATTTCAGCTAATACTCTGTCACCAACAGAAGCCAAAGCAGGAACTGAAGCAGAGGCCATGGGGAAATGCTACTTACTGGCTTGCTCCGTATGACTTACTCAACCTGCTTTCTTATACACCCTGCTAAAGGGTGGCGCCACCCACAGTGGGGCTGGCTCCTCCGGCATCAATCATTAATAAATAAAATGCCCCACAGGGAGGAAAAAAAAATGCACCGTAGGCCCATCTGATGGAGGCATTGTCTTGGCTTGTGTCAAGTTGACAAGAAACTGACTGGCTCAATGTCCAAAGGAAATTTGGTTTGCTTGTGTTTTCCATGGAGGGAGGAAGAAAGCCACAGACTTTAGAAATCATCTCAATATCTGGTATAATCCAATCTTGCCATGATTTACTCCTCAGATTAACCGAGCCTTTCCAGGAAGGGGGCAACCATGTTTTTCCTCCTGGCATCACACAAGACATAAGATACAAGCAGGCAGGTCCTCTAACTTTTATTTAGGGACTGAGTGGTATCAATGTCAATATTAATGTCCTTCCTTTGTCTTTAAGACAGAGTTCAGTAGCTGCCCCAAGCTGTCTCCAAGGACAGGAAACTTGTCCTTTTCTCTTGTGTTCTCTCTTATGAGCTCAACATCACACACCAAGCAGGGCAACAAACAGGCGTCATAAATGCTTATTTGATGTTTTTCTGTTGGCTTAGCAACTGCATATGAATCTACTGATATTTTAATTATTGTCTGCATCCCATGACCCCGAATTCAGCACCTGGCCCAGATCGGCCACAGCCACTATGTGTAAGTTTATACTGTCAATATTGCTCTATTTATCAACAAAGACTTAGAAGTCAGATGTTGGGGTGAAAACCTGCTAGATCAGAGAAGCCAAGAAGCAACCAGCTGACCTTGCTTTTTGGCCAGAGATGCAGCAAGGAACGAATCTCTTCCCTTGTTACATAGCTAAAAGGAAGCTAAAATTCTAATCCCTGCCCTTTCCTTCCTGTGTTTCTTCTCTATCCAAATCACTTGCTTCTCTATGGCTAATCCCAGTCAGAGCTAGTCACTGGCTCTGCCCCTTGATTCAAGGTAAACTTTATTGATGTCTGGAATGTTACAGTGTGATCAAAATATCTCACAAAACTTACTGAAAATTATGGTGGTATATTCCCGGTAAATAGTTCTAATTGTCCAGGAGGTGGGATCAGCTTTGATGATCTCCTACACAATTAGGGATATTTGCTCAGAAACCTGCAAGATACAAGGTCTCCCAGATTTCTTTCACTAGGAGGGAGCAGTTGAGGCAGTCAGAACTTCTTTGATAGGGAGTCACCACCTCTCTTACCAGAAGCCATGTTTCCAATAGTAACCCACTTGTTCATGGCCAAGGGCATGCTGTTGGGCTTTTACCCTAACACAGGGAGTTGAGAGATGAACCCCCTGGAATTCTTACTTGAAATGCATGAGGCTATCTCCTAGCCGGTTGTCATCATGCTCAGGATTTCTGTATACCAAAGTCCTGTCTCTGCCTCCCACCGTCTCTTTGACAAAGGAAGTGAGAGCTCTCTCTGGAGGCCTTCTCCTTTGCACTGGATGTCTCGGCTTGGCTTAGACGCTTGGATTTTCAACTGGGCAGGCGATATCTTCCTTCAGGTTTGTTTTTCTGAGGAGTGAGTGGCGATTTCCAGCCAGCCCTTAGCCAGCTGTCCAGAGGCCCTCTTCCCTCCTCCCCCAAACACAACCTGCAACAACAAGCACTCCGTTGGAGGTTTATTGGTGGAAGTAGAGGAGCATCTTGGCATAAGCACCATCTCTTCTCTCCCATGGTTACTTGGCCCACCGTGGGAAGCAGCATTATATGAGGCAGAGCAAATAGGAGACAGGGCTGACACCCATACTGGCTAGGTGTTAGGGTCCCAAAAGGTTCTCTCCTAGGGAGCTTGCTACAGGAACCTGGAGGAAGTTCTCATTTGGGTCCTCTTGTTCCCAGAGGCTGTGGGTCAAAGTAGCTCTCATGGGCATATTAGTTGACGATGCCATCAGTGGGGGTGTCTTGCAGCTGTTGGATTTGTCTTTTACTGGGGTAGTATCAGTGTGTCTGTGGGAGTCCAAAGATTCCCAGGTCATAGAAAGCAACGGAAAAGAAAGAAAACATGGTTAGACTCCACTTAAGGGCTCCAAAAATGGCCCAGCAATTGAGAACACTTGCTACTCTTCCAGAGGACCCAAGCTTGGTTCTAGGACCTATTTGGCATCTTACAATTGTCTATGACTCCACTTCTAGGGGATCTGATGTCCTCTCCTGGTCCCCACAGGAACCACAGGCAAAAAAAAAAAAAAACCCATACACATTAAAAAAAAAAAATAGGGCGGGAGAGAGGGCTCAGGGGTTAAGAGCACTGACTGTTTTTCCAGAGGTCCTGAGTTCAATTCCCAGAAACCACATGGTGGCTCACAACTCTCTATAATGAGATCTGATTCCCATCTGGTTTCCTCTTCTGGCTTGCAGGCATACATGTAGGCAGAACACTACCTACATGTTTTTTTAAAAAATCTGCTTAAACAAACTATTTTTTAAAGGCTGAAGAAAGATTCACTAGTTAAGAACACATACTTCTCTGCCAGAGGCCAGCCCAAGTTACACAGTGAGTTTTTGTCTCAGAAAAAAGAAAAACAAAAACAAACCATGTAGAACCTGATGGTGCATGACTTTAATCTCAGCATTGAAGAGGCAGAGGCAAGCAGATCTTTGTGAGTTCAAAGCTAACCTGGTCTAAAAAGAGTCTCAACCCAGCCAAGAGCTAAACAGTGAGACACTGTCTCAAAACCAAAACCAACAAACAAAAGTCCAAAACAATTAACAGGAGTCTGTTAATCCTGTACTTGGAAAGTGGAGGGGGGAGAGATCAGTAGTTCAAGGTCATCTCCTGTCTTAAAAAAGACAAGAAAACAAAGCTACAAACTACAAAATAACCCATGAAAACTCCCAAGGAGAAAAAAAGCAACTTAAATCATTAGGAAATGGAAAAAGAAGTTGATGACCCCGCCTCTCACTAGGAAAAATAATGAAATATTTTTATGATCTCCAGGTTTTGGTGGCACATGCCTTTAATCCCAGCACTCAGAAGGCAGAGGCAGGTGGATCTCTGTGAGTTCAAGGTCAGCCTGGTCTCCAGAGCGAGTGCCAGGATAGACTCCAAAGCTACACAGAGAAACCATGTCTCTAAAAACAAAACAAACAAACAAAAAACCAAAAAAACAAAAAAAAGAAATATTTTTATGATCTTATGTGTGGGTATTTTGTTTTCATGTATGTCTGTTCCCTGCTTGTGTGCCTGGTGCCAGAGGAGGCCAGAAGAGAGCACTGGAGCCCTTGAAACTAGAGTTACAGACAGTTGTGAGCTACCATGTGGGTGCTGGGAATTGAACCTGAATCTTTAGGAAGAGCAATCAGTGTTCTTAACCAATGAGCCATCTTTGTAGCTCCAGAGAAAGGAAAATTTTTGGAGGCTGAGGCAGGAGGATTACAGAAAGTTCAAGTCAAGTTCAAGCGTGAAACCCTGAGTCAAACAAAATACAGCAGGGGCCAGCCCTGGGGGTGTAGCTCAATGGATAGTCTTTGGCTAGCATGCATGAAACCCTGGGTTCTAACCTAGCCCTTGAGAGGTGGAGGTGGGAGGATGAGGGGTTTGAGGTCACCCTTAGCGATACAGTGCATTTGAGGTCATCCAGGATGACAAGAAGCTCTTGGGGAAAAGGAGGGAGGAGGAGAGGACAGGAGAGGGACAAGGCTGAGGGTCTCAAGAAGGTATGTATGATCAGGCCCCGGGCATTTTAACTTCAAAAGTGAGGCTGTTTTGCGATCTGAAAGGATCAGCTTTTTTATTCTAAAGGGTGCCATGTCCTATAGGGACTGTCCAGAGAGGCAGCTTTTAAATCAAGACAACAACAACAACAAAAAACTCCTCCTGCTGGAAAAAAAAATTAAGAAAACAATTATGTTGATGGCAGCATATGCCTTATACTTGCCCTGCACCTGGGGGTTCAGTCTGTGACTGCTTGTAAGGGAATTAGTTGAAACTTGAAGTTAGGAGTTGTCTTTGGTCAGTGTTCCTTTTATACAAGAGGTAGAGAAGACAAAGCAGAGGCTCACCCAAGAGGCCATTGTGAGCTGGGATTATCCAGTCAGTAGCTAACTGACGTTTTTGTTGCTGTTTGGTTGGTGTTTGTTTGTTTGTTTGTTTGAGACAAGGGTTCTCTGTGTAGCTTTGGAGGCTGTCCTGGCACTCACTCTATAGACCAGGCTGACCTGGAACTCACAGAGATCATCTTGCCTCTGCCTCCTAAGCACTGGGATTAAAGGGATGCACCACCACCACCCAGCTGCTGATTTATTTCCTAACTCAACATTTCTTTGAGTTAATTTACCCTTTTTTAATTCTTTTTATTGTGTATCTGCCATTTGAAAAACAGCGCAATTATCTATGGAATGAACATTCAGATGTCTGAACACCACAGAACCTGTTTTCAAGCATAAGCTTACAACCAAGTTCAGGGACGAAGTCATGTGGCTGGCTATCTAGAATAAAAAGAACTAGAAGCCGGGGTTGGTGGCACACACCTTTAATCCCAGCACTAGGGAGGCAGAGGCAGGTGGATCTCTGTGCGTTCCAGACCAGCCTGGTCTACAAGAGCTAGTTCCAGGACAGCCTCCAAAGCCACAGAGAAACCCTATCTCAAAAAAAAAAAAAAAAAAAAAAAAAGAAAAGAAAAGAAAAAAGAACTAGAGCTGGCTGGATAGAAGGTGTCATAGCCCCATGAAAACAGGCTGGGGCGAGGGATACTGGAGCTGACAACAGAGAACTCACCCGTCTCCTGTGAGCTGGTGTCTTTTTGAGAATCCTAAGAGACTGTCACTGGCCCGCTCAGCTGCCAGCAGCATTATGGTCTCGCTGGCCTGGGAGGATGACGGCAGGCTGCTTTCAGGCTGTATGGGGAAATACAAGTCAGAAGGCTCTGCTGCTAACGGAGCATCCGGGCTCTCCCTGGCAAGGCTTGAAGCAAACTGTGGACTGATTTCAGTTTCACAGAACAGGCCTAAGGACATTAAATCACAATACTGCTGGGGCAGTGATGGGAGCCTCTGGCAACAGCACACCTTCTCTGATGTACTATGGAGGCTATGCTCTCCAGAGGGCCATAAATGGACCCTAGAGCAGCTGGTCTCTAAAAGCAGTGATTACCAAAACACACACCTTCATGAATTCAGGAAAAGATTTCAGTTTTAAGATCTCACATTTGGAGCAATCATCTACCAAGCTTTCTGCCTGTACTTCTGCACTGGGCAGGTCTGGGAAGACCTCATGCCCCAGGGGAGCTCGGCATAGTGGTGTGTGCTTGCAAGCCCAGCATTGGAGAGGCTAAGAAGGCAGGGGGCGAGCTGAAAACATGAGGGCAACCTGGGGTACATTTTGAATTCCAGCCCAGTCTAAGCTACCGAGGGAGGCCTGTGTCAGCAGTAGCGCACACATACACAGAATAAATAAATAAATAAATAAATAAATAAATAAATGGTAAATATAAAGACAATAGCTCAATGATAGAGCAGATAGAACACTGGTCTAGCATGGCGCATGCTGGAGACCCTGCTTCTACCCACAAGATGAGGAGAAGTTGTGGGAGCTGAAGCAGGAAGATCCTGTGTTTGAGGCCAGCCTGGGCTATGTAGTGGGATCCCATCTTCACAAAGATGCAAAAAGGATAAGTCTATATATGTAACTATGTTCAAATTCACCAAAAATTAGAGACGCCCTTTACCTCTCTCTCATATTAAGAGTCATTCAAATGTATCCCACGGTGGTAAGGCAATGAGGGGAAGTGCCCATGATAGAATATAATTTTTAAAAATATCGGCAACATTGTTTTCAGTAACATACATTCATACTTGTCCCTAATATCCATGGGGATTGGTTCCAGGATCTACCGACTAATACCAAAATCCACCATACTCAAGTTCCTTATTCAAAAGGTATAGCTTTTGAGCGTGCCTCACCTAACACAATATTAGGCAAAAAGCTGCTCCACTGTATTAGTCAGGGAACAATATTTCTGAACCAAGGTGTTGAGTGAATTCATGGATGAGGGACCTGCCTGTATGAAAGGCCAAGTGTCCGTTTGCATGTGTGAACACTCTGTGTGTATGAGTATGTACACATCTCGACACCATGGAAATCCCTGGGAGACTGGACTGTGTGGATTTGTCCACACAGCAGACTGTCAGCAAGAGAAAGGAAGCTGCTCCCCCTGCCCCGACCCCTCAACATTTTAGAAAGAGCCAGTAGCCATAGCTGGATTTTCTTTTTTGGCGGGGGGGGGGGGGGGTGGGTGTTTTTCATCCCTACTTACTGTTATTTCAGTGGAGGAGTTGGGTATCTTGGGCACCAGGCAGTGTGTGAACTGGATCCTCGGGTCTTTGGTGGTGATAGACAGACCTTTCTGCAAAATTTTCACCAGGCGGATCCAGAACTGAAACACAGCCTGTGGATGTTTCTCGTGGAGCCTCAGGTAGTAGATCTTCTCAGTCACCGTCCTAACCCGAAGGATGCGTTGGGCCCGGTCATAGATTTGCAGCTCCACATACTTCAGGGGCAGGATCCTGTGCACAATTGGGGGATTTGTGTGTTGGTGCCCAGAGGGTGCTGGCAGGAGAGAGCTCCTGCTCTGAGGGTGGGAACTGATTCCCCTCTGATTATTTGCAGGATCTTTGTTCCTTAGTAAAGACTTGCATGGTGGTGTATACCTAAATCCTAACACTTGGGAACTGAGAGCCTGAGCTACATAACCTTGTCTCAAAAAATATTAAACAAAAATAGTCTGCCCACATCAATCACCACTATTGCTATTGTGCATAATATCTCAAGTCTCATAAACCCCTCGAAGAGGGAAAGGTAAATATTATTAATTATGCATTTCAGACTTTGTAACAGAGGCTTGGGGAAGTTGGTGAGTTAATGGGGAGATGGCAGAGTAGACGAAAGCACTTGTGCAAGCATGACAACCTGAGTTTGAATCCCCAGCACTCATGTTTGAAAAGAGAAAAGCCAGGCATTGTCACACTGGCCTATAACCTCAGGGCTAAATGCCGAAGCGGGTAGATCCTGGGAGCTCAGTGCCAGCCAGCCTAGCCAAGCCGGTGAGATAGTTTCATGGATTACGGCATAATATGACAGAGTGGGACATCCAACATGTTCTCTGGCCTTGCACTCTGACAGGAACACACGCACACACGCATGCATGCATGCAGTAGGAGAGAAGCAACTTCTAAAAGTTAACACACACACACAGAGAGAGAGAGAGAGAGAGAGAGAGAGAGAGAGAGAAAGAGAGAGAGAGAGAGGAAAGAAAAAGAAAAAACAGTAAACATTTAATTAGCCCTAGTCTTCAAAAAGAAAATCTCCATATTCTCTTTGAAAATCCCCCACACATATACTGACAAAATACAAGGAAGCCAAGACTGGCATTCTGTGAATTCTAGGACAGCCTGGTCTATATAATGGATCCAGGCAACCCAGGGTTATCTAGAGAGACCATCACAAAGATCCACAGACACTGAGCTGGAGACAGGAACTGTGCTGCACCCTGCTCTGAAGCACTTGTTGCAAAAGACACGAAGTAAACATGCATCAAGTCAACAGGTGGATGAACTCTGCAGTGCTTACGAAGAACCAGTATTGCCCTTTCTTCTGATCTGAAGCCCACCTGTACAGTACACATATACCTGTCAATCATCCCACAGCCCCCTCCCACCGCCAGCCTTTACCTGCTAAGAGTGATGACAGGGGCACCAGGTGTGCTACTGGTGGAAAATGGACCATGAGGCCAGGTGACGTTGGCCATGAGGAGGACATTGGGGAGTGGCAAGGAGGGCACTGAAGAGGTTACCCCAAGGATCATAGTGGCAGATCTTTCATAGGCATCCATCCAGTTTCCTTGCTTAGTGACCTGGAAACCAACCCCAGACACATGGGTCAGAAAGAGAGAGCAGATGTATGGAAGGATACAGCTACCAAACAGGGTGACTTCAGCTTGGTGAGCTAGACCATTACCTGCTACTATTACCCTACATAGTCTGTGGACAACAGCAACCCTGTGTAGTACTGCTTTCCATAGAGAAACACATCTAACTTTGAAAAGATACACCAGTCACTCAGGCAGGAGAATGAGGATTTCAAGGTCACTCTTGGTTTCATATGAGTTAAAAGGCAGCCTGAGCTACATGAGACCCTGTCTCAAAACAACAAACAAACAAACAAAAACCAGAGAGATGCTTGTAAGAACAAAAGTTGAGTGGCATTGGAAATTTTACACTTCCCTCCCTGGGTCAGAGAAACCAGCACAGCTTTCTAATGGCCTGGAAGGGAAGACAGTTCTACAAGAGGAAGAGAGTAGATTGGAAAGACCCAGAAAGCTCAAGTGGAGGGAGGCTGGGAGCTTCCCTCAGATAAGAGAGGGCAGCTTGTTGCAGGGTCTCAAACATCACCAGGACCCCTTCTGCATCCCAAAGTACCTGGGGACAGTGGCAGGGCAGGGACAGTGGATGTCCAGCACAGGGGCATTGTCTCTGCTCACACCAGAAATGCACTAGAGCTGTGACCATCAAGGAGCCATAGATAACATGTAGAGATGTCTGTGTTACCAAAGACCAGTGTTCTCCCAGTGTTCTAGACTCTGACAACTGTGCATCCCATGTGGGAACTGGGGACAAGGGGAAACCCCAAGGAGGACTGAAATTGACTCCTACCAGTCTGACTAAATAATGCCTCAAGAAAAATTCTGGCCAGGCAGTGGTGGTACATGCCTTTAATCCCAGCACATGGGAGGCAGACGCAGGAGGATCTCTGTGAGCTTAAGACCAGCCTGGTCTACAGAGCAAGTTCCAGGTCAGCCAGGATTTATGCAGAGAAATAAATCTCCATCTCGAAAACACAACAAAAAATCTGACTGGGGGAGAGAAAAAGAAGTGACATTTCTTAGAGTCCATGCTATGAAATAGAATCTGTAGTCCCCACAAAACAGAGTTCAGTATCCACTGAGAGTAAGTGGTCAATACATGCTGGGAACTAGTCCCACTTTGGGATGGCCATAGGGTGGCAGTGACATAGAGAACAGGAGAGAAAGAGAGGAAGAAGTGGGCTTCTCTTGGGTCCCATTGAGCCCATCCAAGGAATCTCAACAGCATCAATGTTAGCTCATACAGAACAAAATAAGGAAACAGATCCCCTGCCAAGATAACACACTTGAAGACGGATGGCTAGAAATTCAAATGGTCTGGATTCCACGTTACTGCTCCCTCCCCCCGGGCTTGCTAGCTCATCCCCCCAGGAACATGGGTGTCTACGTGGGGCGGCACAAGAAAATGGAGTATCAGGAACCTTTTTCCAAACTGAGACCATGGAGGGAAGTAGCTCATTGCAGTGAGAGACTCAAATTTAATCCCTAGACGCACCTGGAGAGGTTCCCACCATGTCCCCTAGAGCTCCCCAGCTCGGCTCTTTCCCACTTCCAACCAGACTCTCCACCTTAACCTGGGTGCTTTCCAGTCCCTCTGCCTGCTCTTACCTAAACTTCAGCAATACCAACAAAGAGTGGATGAGGGGACCCTGCTGTCTGGCAGACCGTTCTCAACTGCCAAAGTCCAGCGAGCATGCCCTGGGTGTCTGTAATCATGCATTGCTGGTCCAAGTGGTCTTGGATAGAGCTTGCTTAGACAGTGACCAGTGATTATGGTTGAATGGATCTGCTGGTACACCATGAGGCTCCTTTCAGGGCTAAAGAAACAGCTCGGCCATTAAGAGAGTTTACTGCTCTTACAGAGGACCTGGAGCTCAGTTCCCAGCAACCCTATCAGGCAGTTTACAATCATCTGTAACTCCAGCTCCAGGGGATCTGATGCCACCTTCTGACCTCCAGGGCATTGTACTCATGTGCACAGATACACATGATTAAAATTTAAATAAATAAATCTTTCCCCCCAAAAATGTCCCACAATGTTTTAAAAGCTGCTTAAATTGGGTATGTTGACACACACCTTTTAATTCCAGCACTCAGGAGGCAGAGGATGGAAGCTCTCTAAGAGTTTGAGGCCAGTGTGGTCTTCATAGCTCTTGGACAGCTAAGGCTACACAGTGAGACCCTGTCTCAAAACAAATAAACAACAACCAAAAAAAAAAAACCCAAAACAAACAAATAAACAACCTCATTTCTTGTACCAGAACTACTTAACTCTTTGCAAGTAGTCAGCAGGGAATTCCCTCACACAAAGGGAAGTGACCTTGGAACCTAAACCCTCTGGTTTCCTCTGGCTTTGGGGCCTCCCCCACCCTCAGGACTTCCGGTATCGTCTTCTAACTAACCCGTGGGAGCAGGCCGTGGAAAGGGGGCCACTCTCATCCCTGAGATGCAGGAGGTACCTGGATAAAGGTGCTCTCAAACACCACCGAGTCAGAGAACAAGTTGAATTCTGGAGAATGAATTAGTTGACAAAGAAGGCCATCTTCTACTCCCAGTTCCACTCCAGGGCCCGGGTCCCTGACGGCAGAAGGGAGGCCCCTAATTTTACTCATTGGTTTTTAAAAAGAATGGGCTGGGGAACATCTCTGGGGCTCCACACAGACCCAGCCCAACTCCAAGGTGTTGGTGGGACCACTGCTCCCCCCCACCTCCCCAGCTCCAGTTCCCTGCTCTGCTGGCTTATGGTTGACCATGTCTACCAGAGCAGGGAGGGCCTGTCAGCTCACAATGGCAGCAGTGACATCAAGGAATGTAATGGCTAACAACAGGAAAGGGAGAAGAGGCCCAGAAGAGGAAGCATAGGGCTGTGTGTTGACTGCAATCCTGCAGTAAAATCCCAGATTCTAAACCTTTGCCCTTACCCCAAGCAGAGGGAGAATGACCTTCCCAAGAGTTTGCCAAGACGGTGAGCTGGCCAGGCAAACTAGGAAAAGGTCTCTAGGAAAATCACAGGCTTTGATCTTCTCTCATCACTGGAAGCCACACACAAAAGCTCTTTGTAAGTTCAAATTGTTTACCTAAAGTCAGGCATTGGGGACCTGCTGGATGGCTCAGCAGCTAAAAGGGCTTTTGCCAAGCTTAAGGGTCAGCATTTGATCCCTGAGATCCTAGTGATAGAAAGAACTGATTCAATCAAGTTGTCAGATCTCTACATGCAGTTTCATATAGGTGTTTTTCTCTCTCCTCTCTCCCTTTCCTTCTCATGCATGTGCACGCGAACACACCCACACAAAACACACACACACACACACTAAAAAATAAAGTCGGGCCGGGCATTGGTGGCGCCCGCCTTTAATCCCAGCACTCGGGAGG